GTCTTCCGCGTGACTCAGGTCCTCGGTAGGGCGTGCACAGACCTTCCTGTCTGCAGCGGGCTGATTCGGCGTCTTCCAGAAGAGTTTCTTTTCAATGAATAGGAATTGTTTGTACAATGTAATCATACAAATACACATGGATAATATAAAGCATTTTCCATTTTACAAAGGAAATTATTTTAAGAAACAATTTCTGGGTAACCTCTATATATTGGGTACTTATTTTCAACTGGTCACTTATTGTTAGACATTTATTTACAAGCAATAGCTATGTACATATTAGGATTAGATTGGGTATAGATTATTTATATACGAGTAGTTTAGATTGGAGAGGCTGCTTAGAATAAGGAACTGTATGGGCTTCAACAGAAACAGTCTTCTAATAATCACTGCAGTCAAGAAAGGTACGTTGTTGGGCTACCAAATTAGATAAAACTGGATGACAATAGGGGGGTTATAATTAGGACAAATTTTAATTTTATTTGTGTAGCAGTTTATATAAATATTTTACAATTAGCCATGTGCTATATGTTTAGATGCTGAGCCCTTTTTGTAATAAGCATGTGGATCGCTCTACTCAGGAAGAATTACCTTAAGGGTTAGAAGCACTGGCTTCTGAGTCAGTAACAAAGTCATTGCTAATTGATGGAAGAGTGGGTAGAAGGTGAGTGAAGTTTAGAGTATGAGGTGGGTGAGCAGGGAGAGCAGGACAGGATACACTTCTATGAACAAGGCATGGGGAGTAGGCCTGGTAGCACATGCCAGCTGTGCCCTGTTCCAGTGCTAAAACCTGCTGCCCTCCTCCCCACTACAGAGGGGTTCTGTCCCTAAAATCACTGCAAGGCCGGCATTCCTGCCACAGAAACCCCCTGTTCCTATGCCCAAATGTTTCAAAGGGAAGGCACTCCCACGACTTCACATGGATTCTTTAAAAATTCTTATCTGCTTGCTATTATGCAGGCACACATATGTGCAATACAATATGCAACACAATTTAATTTGAGCATTTTCTTATTGTAACAAAAAACCTGGTATGGAATTTTGACTTCAAGGATCTAGGCTCCCTCTTATGTAACCACCAAGGGCTACATAAAACTGGACATGTGACAATGGGCCACTTAGCTTCTTCACTAGGATACAAAGAACCAAGGTGAAAAGCCAGAGAGACCCTATGGGTGGCTGTCAGGGACAGTGTGAAACCAAATGCACGGTGATTCAAGAACCTCAGAAAGCCAAGTTGGTGCCATCAGGGCTTAGCTCAAGGGAATTTCTTTGTGTGTTTTATTTTCTTTCTATTTCTGTGTTGTTGTTGTGGATCAAACTTAGGGCCTTGCTCATGCCAAACAAGTGCTCTATTACTGAATTACAACCCTACTGCATCCCAGCAGGATTGTAAGTCAGCCCCAATCGTGTGAAGAATCAGGTATAGGCATACAAGAACATAGGTATCATATAAGTTCCCTGAAAAGAAATTCTGAAACAAGATGAAGGCATACTCTATATAATGATAAGACCTCAAGCCAGGAATAAAAAAGTGAGTCAAAATAAAGAGCAAAATAAAAGACAGATAATAAGAAGTAGGGAGATAGATCTTTCTCAAATGGAAAGGGGATCAAGAGATAGGGGAGAGGAGGGAAAAGAGATGAAAGAAGGAATTAAGATGTGCTATGTACGTGCACCAACTCCATGCAAGGATTGTAAACATTATGTATTACAAACATGGACTAACAAAAACTATCAGGAAAATCTCCCCATGTTGGTCTCAACAGACTTAACGCATATATATATAGATATCCTGAAATCCTAGCCCTGGCCCATGGCCTTGTGGACCTAGTTTGTGAATATGAGCAGAAAGTCTGAAGGACAGTTTAGGTGATGAGATCAATAGAAACTAAAAACAATACTTCCTGAAACAGAATTAAGTTGCTTACATTTTCTGAGCAACACCTTGCATTTAGGGATTTAGGGAAGGCAGTTGTGTCCTGAGAATTTGTGAATCCAAATTTGATCAGCAAACTGGTTTAAATGGTGTGTCAGGAGCATTTGCATTGTTTTCAGGTCAGACACATTTGGTGAACATAATGCATTTGGTGAACATTCTGTGTTGGTTATGTTTTCCTCACTGCTACTATCCACAGACATGGAGGAGCAACAAAGAAAACCTATCTACAGCCTTTTGTTGGTCCTCCTCCTTAGACTGTTTCCCAGTGTTCTTAGAGAGGGTTTTTCCTGACTTTCTTGAAATTTCTAACAAGTGTCTGTTCTGTCCCACCACCCAACAGTACGTTTGCATCATAAATAAGTTCTGGGAGGGCCATTTGAGCTAGTTTGTTTTCTAACACCTAAGATGTTACTTGATGCAAGTGTATCTTTTTTTGTTTTTGGTACCGGGGTCCTTGCGCTTGTGAGGCAGGCGGCGGAACCACTGAGCTAAATCCCAGCCCCGATGCAAGTGTATCTATCTTGAAGGGAGGCAGCTGAGATGCGGGTGAGGGTTGCAAGTGCTCTTCGTGTGTTCTGGGAGATTGACGGGGGAGCAGCTTTCATTGTTGTCCTACTTGTCCCCTTTTCCCAGACCCTCCAAATATGCAGTATGGGAAGCATTTCTCTGGGTGATAACCAGTGAGGCTGATGGGGACTAGCGCAGATGCGGTATATGTCATCCCAGGGATTTTAGCTGGGGAACCTGGAAGGGAACTCTGTCGGTCCAAAACCTGCAAGAAAGTAGAACTTTGCCTTTAAGACTAGAGAGGCAAGGAAGAAATAAGAAGTAATCTTAGTGTTGCTGTTCGACCCCCTGTGTGAACGATGTGTATATTCTATCCCTTGTCAGAGTGCATCATTTTCAGGGCCACATTGATCCTCATATAAGATCACGGTTTTATTTCAGCAAGGCATCCTGAACTGAAAGAAGAGCTGTGGTGGAAATGGGAGGCTTACACGATTCTAGCATTTTCATTGCTATTTAAACATGAGCTAAAGATGTTGTCTCATTATTGTCATGGCTGAGAATCTTGGGGGCAGGACCTGTGTGAGTCTAGTTCCTCAGAGAAAACGGGGCAGCAGGTTCAGATGCTTGTGCATGTCCCTTTCGTGTCAGCAAGTAACTTCTGCTTTTGTTCCTAAGTTTGAGTCTTTCATTTTGAGAACCACAGAGCAGCTAATATGGTGAGGATATGTGAAATGATGGCTATTTCATGACAGCATTACTTTTTATTCAGTTAACGTATTTTGAATACCTAGTGTTTATGTGCACTCTATTTCAGGAGCTAAAGATAAATGAAGAATAAGACCAATATCTGGGTTGAAGGGAAGGCAGGGGAGTCGGGTACACAGGCAATTTGCATAATTTTATAAGAAATTCTGTCATGAGAGTGACATCAAGGAGCAGTGGCAGCACAGAGGGAATACCCCACCCAGGTCCAGAACTTAGGAAAGAGGCAATCTTTAAAAGAATTTATCCGTGCAGTTTAGATATACATCATCACAGGGAATTTGTACCTGTACAATATACATCTTACTTCTTTTTTTTCCCATTCCCCTGCTCTCCCTTCAACCCCTCTTCCCCTCCTTACTTGCAAAAGCTTTGTTTCTATTTTTCCTTCTTTTCTCATTTTTTTCTTTTCCCTTCCCCTCTTCTTTGTGTCCCTCCCATTTGAATATTTTCTTCCCATTTCCCAATATCAATTATACATTTTGTTCCTTATTTATACTTTTGATTTCTCACACCAGAGAAACAGTGTGGTATTTAAACGTGTATCCAATTTACTTCACTTAAGAGTATGGTCTCAAGGTGCATCCATTTACCTAGACATGTCTTAAGCTTATCTTTTTTTTTTTTTTTTTCTGGTACCAGGGATCGAATTCGGGTCCTTGCACTTGCAAGGCAGGCGCCAGAACCACTGAGCTAAATCCCCGGCCCCAAGCTTATCTTTCTGTATGGCAGAGTAATACTTCATTGAATAAAAAAACCACATCTTTATCCATTCATTGGGTGATAGGCATTTGGGCTCTTTCCAGGATTTCGCTATTACAAATTCTACTGCTATAAACATGGTTGTGCATATATCACTGTTGTATGATACTTTTAATTCTTTCAGGAAGATATCACCAAGGGGAATAGCTGGGTCAAAAATGGAACCTCTAGTTTTAATTTTTTGAGGAATCTCCACACTGGTTTCCACAGTGGTTGCACCAGTTTATACTCCCACCAACAGTGGAGAAGGGTTCCTTTTTCCCCCACAGCTTCACCAGCATTTGCTATTGGTTGATTTCATGATAATAACCATTCTTTCTGGAGAGAGATGGAACCTTAGTGTTATTTTCATTTGCATCTCTCACATGACTAGTGATGTTGAACATTTTTTCATATATTTATTTGTTGTTTCTACTTCTTCATCTGAGAAGTGTCTATTCATTTCAGATGCCCATTTTTGGATTGGGTCTTTAAATTTGGGGAATCAGAACAGAAAAGGTTAAAGAGGAACAGAAAGTAATAAAGGAAACAGGGTGAAGAAGCTGCGTGTGTTTAATAAGTGTGCAGTTTGTGTGGAAAGACACAGAATCAACAGATAACATGTTCAACTCTCAGAACTACCCCTCATTCATGTCTTCAGTAACAGACAGCTGGGTAGGAATCACATGATCAAATGATGAACTGGCCTTGAAGAAAAATTTTCTTTGCAATTCACCAATTTTAGGATTACAGGACTGGAATTTAGAAGCCGTATTAGGTATAATCCCCAGCTTTATTGAAAAGAGACAATGAAAACAGGATCATCAGGCATTCTCGTGGTTCCTAGTTGGCTATTTGGTAATTACTTCCTTTCAATTGAGTGATTTGTGTCCTTTGTAATAGCATCGAAACTTTACATCCTGTAATGGCATTATTCTGTTCCACATATCATTATTTCATTTTTAATTTCAGCCATCCTAGTTATTTTTTTGAATAAGTAATAATTGCATACCATACCAAAGGCAAAGATGAGAGGAGAATATACAATGTGCAGGTTTTAACCTTCCCTGTATCTTTTGACTACCAAGTTTTACTTGCTTTTGACAATAGCTATTAGTTTATTGTATATTTGTCTTGAGTTATATATAATAATATTAGTGTAAACTTATTATCTTCTACATTAAGTGGCAGCATCTATATACATTTGTGCCTTTCTACATTTTATGATAAATCTTGAAGACTTTCTTATATTAGTACAAAATGAGCTTGTCCTTTCATTGAGTGACTGTAGAATATTCCTTTGTGTGGATGTCCTTTGGTATCTATTATTAGTAACCCACAGAGAGTTAGTGGTTTTCAGTTTTCTGCCAAGATACATTGCTGCCACATATATTTTAACATATGTGTCATTAAATCTATAAGATAATTTCATATTGGATCAAAAGCTTGTGCATTTAACACTTTAATGTATAATTGTAACATTTCATACTCTTAGTAGCAAAGAGGAAATATTTTCTGTTTATCTAAATCTTTGTGTCAAAATAAAATCAACCAAAACAAATGTGGTTTTCTTTCTTGATCTGTGGAGAATGTAAGTATCTCATAGCTTTGTTTTTAAATCTCTTATTGTTGAAGTTAAACCTCTTTAATTCCATCTTAGATATTTGTCCAGTGTTTTCAAGGGAGTTGGTCTTTAATTTCAGTGATTTAAAGTGTTATGAATTATTTCATCATTTTTGACATAAAATGTATTGTTTTGCCATTTTTCTTATTTTGCTGATATGCTTCTGTGGAGAATGTCTTTTTATGTAGTTAACATTATCAATCCTTTGTTTTTAAATATTTTTCTAATATATCCCGCTGGGAAAGGGCCTCCCCCTCCAGGATTTTTATTAGAATACTCTTCCATATCATTTACTTGCAGTGTACAATGTTTCATGCTTATATTTTGATCCATTTGACTTTTTTTGGTATAATGTGTAAGGACTTCAAATTTTTCAATTTGGCTGAATATTTTATAGCATGTGAAATTTATTATGTATTCAATTTCACATGACTCTATGAAAGTATTTCCTCTTCCAAGTTTATTTTATTGCTGTTTCAATATTCAGGGGCTAGCATCCCTGTGCTATATGTTAGACTATTTACCAGCTTGCGTTGTCTCTATTTTCTGTTTTCAGATTTTCACTGTCTGTCTCACCTGGGACTTGTGCCAGACAGTATAAATATACTTCCAAAGAAAATATTTGGTATATTTATTTAAATTATATCTGATGTATATATTGATGTAAGGAGCATCAACATTTTTATTTCTGTACATTTAAAATACTGTGACCTCCAGTAATTAAAAATATCTTCAAATGAGTTTTACTGACTTCCAGATCATTGTATTTTGCGGTATTTGTTGACATTACAAATTTGGTCTTTTATTTTGTTATACTGTCAAACCTACTCATTATTTAAATTAACCCAATCAAATATTAAATATTAAGTTTGTCTTGTATGCAGGAGGCTCTGATACATACTTTTTATTTTTGACTTAATAAATTGAAACTAACATGACACAGTCTTCAAAACAGCCTCAGAAAAACAAAAGAAGCCTGCTTATAGTTTGCTAAGAGACATTTTTCATTTTTTCACTCAAAATTTTCAACCCTGCACCAAATAGTTTAGTGACACCTGGCAATTCTGAAAGTAACACATTGCCAATCCCATCAGTTATGTGTGCACCCAAAGAGGGTGTGTTTTCCTTAGTTGTTTCATATTCTTTTCGGAGTTGGTGTATCTCTACATTCATCTCCTCAGCTTTCTTTGCAAATCCTTCCTCAAGCAGGTCTTTTTTGGACCTAGAAGCAGAAATCACACTCATTGAGGGTTTGGGATTTGCCCTCAACAGTTGCAAGAGCTAAGGGTATACATCTATTTCCACCCCCAACGTGATCTCTGATGAAGGTATCTGATGTTTCCACATGTTTCCTGGGTAGTAAGAATGTCCATGGCTCCTAGTTTCCTAGGATTCCCTCAGTGTCACCTTAGTGAGAGTAAGGAGGGATTGCGCGGTGACAGGTTTGACGACTGTCCCCATGATATGTTCCAGGCCCCATGCAGACTCATCTTCAGCTTGTGCTCCAGCATCCTTTCCTGCTCCCTCAGAATGTTCTCCTTTTCCCTTTCCATCTGCTTCTTCAGTGGAGCCATGTTTTCCTGGTAGCTTTTCTCTTGGGCCTCCATCATTTGCTGCTGTTCTTTCTGTTTCTGTTTTAGTAGCTCCTGTTCCTTCTCAGCCGCTTCCTTCATGGTCCACTCGGCTGCTCCACAAAGATTTTAGAGGGAGAAAGAACAACAGGCCTGAGTTCAGAGACCAAATTGATTTCAAAACGGCCAAGAGAGAAATCATTAAATGCTCCTGGTCACTGCGCCTTCTAGAGCACGTTTCAAAATGTTGTTAGTCAGAATTTATCTGACTGGCTACACACCTACCCTCTTTATTTTCATATTAGGGGGAGCAGGAGTTCTACTGTAGGACAGGAAGCTCATTGTTTAAGGAAGGTTTTCTTGTCCAGTTAGCCAGAGGGCTTTGTGGCAACCTCCCTCCCCATCCAAGCTGTACCTGCAAGGGCCCTCTCTCCATCAGTGAGGGCTTTGTCGGACTGCAGGATGGATTTCTCTACAGCAGCCTGTGACTGTAGGAAGCTCTGGAGAATCTCATTTGCCTTAGGAACCAAAGGAGCAGAAAAATATCAGGAAGCAAAGATTTACTCTTTTGTTGGGCAAATGATTGCTCTCTAAACTTTATTATTTTGTATCCTCCTTAAGATTCCCTTGCCTCCTTTCCAGCCACAAACACAATGTAAATTCTTGTCTCTTTTGTGGAACTTCAAAGCCTTCCATAGCAGCCTTTGTCCTAGCTTTCTATTCTTGTTTCCCATAGTTTTCTACCATGAACCCCAGTGTCATGGCTTGTATCTATATGTCCCCTCAAAGCCTCATATGATCATAGGTTGGGCTTTTTCAGAGGTGGCTGAATCTAGGGTGTATGATACTGGTGTTAAGGGTGTGTAATTACTATATCAGTCCACTGATTGGTTCGGTGCCACCTTAATTCTGGTAACCTAGACAGAGTATGAAAGAGGCAGAAAGAAACTGCTGAGGCCTCTTGCTCACTTGCTTTGCTACTTTTTGACCAATATGAACTGTTTCCCCTCTACAATGCCTGCATGCCATGCCATCCTGCTTTTGGAGCCAGCCGATTATTATTATTATTATTATTATTATTATTATTATTATTAAAGAGACGGAAAGAAGGTGCTAAGGCCTTTTGCTCACCTGCTTTGCTACCTTCTGCCCAACGTGAACTGTTCCTCCTCTGCAATGCCTGTCTGCCACGCCACCCTGCTTTGGAGCCAGCTGATTATGGACTGAAACCTCTACAGTGAGCTAAATAAACTTTTCCTGCTTTAACTTGTGAATGTTGGGTATTTTGTCTTAGCAATGAGAAAAGTAACTAAGCCACTCAGATTGCAGCCAATCAGATCTATGTACATCCTCAAAACATACTCTCTGTTGTTTCATATATTTTAACATTTTTTTTCTTGCATCTTTTATCTTTTTTTTTGGTACCAGAAATTGAACTCAGGACTTTGTGCTTTCGAGGCAGGCGTCAGCACCACTGAGCTGAAGTACCCAGCCCTACTTCTTTTATATTAACTCAAATAATGCTCATGGACAATTCACCATGACCCTTCATTTCCTCTTATAGGAAGCTTTCCTGGGCTGACTTCAGAGTTTTGAATGGCTACCAAGTACATTGAACTACCCTGCAAACCAGCTCTTGAAACTACAGGGTTTGGGGCCTGGAACTTCATTTGTCTGTGCATAGCATTTTTCAGCTATAAAATTATCCTGAGGATTAAATTACAACTTCAAAAGTAGCTTGTAACCATAGGTTACCGATTATACACATGATATATAAGAGAGTGTAGAATATATGTCAGCATTATTATTACTAATATTCTTATCATTCTAGTTGCATCATTATTTCTATTTTCTGTTCTTGCCAGGATGACAATGTTTATCTGTCGGGAGCAATGCTACATAATTTTAGGGAAAAATCATTTGGTTAGCCTAGTTCTCCTGCCTACAGCCAAGCTATGGAATTCCGAGACATAATTGCATTTTGGCCTCTGGTCACACCTGAGACCTCAGTGATCCGGTGATGGTGTCTGTGATTCTCTAGGACAAGACACATCCTGGGAGCTGAAAACATCCTGGGAGGAACAAACATCTACTCCGTTCCTCCTTGTTCTTAGATTGTTACATCTTATTTACCCAGGATGTACTGAACTCTGTGCAAGTCATTTGTTACACTTTGTTTCTCCCGATGTGGTAAGCTGGGGGCTTTTGTCTTTGCCGCCCAGAGCAGCACTGATCAGACCCAAAGCTCAGCTTCTCAGTCACATTTTTCTACCTTTCCTGTAATTCGCCTTGTGCTGTCATGGCTCTCAGGAGACTAGGACTTACTGCAGAGGTTCTAGTAACATCCCCTTTCCCTGTTCCCTACATTTATCCAGTTGGACACTGTATCCAATTGATTGTTTGTAACAAAGGCAAGATCATCAGTATCTTGTAAAAATGGATGTCTCTTTAGACTTTGAATCCCCTGTACTTAGCTCAAAAGCAATCTCACACACACACACACACACACACACACACACACACACACACAAAACACCACATCATATTGTTCAATTGAGGAAGGAAAGTTCTATGGGATTACTGATAGTATACTCTATTTTCCAGGGGGCAATGTTCTCATTTCATTAAAAATAACTAATTATTGACATAACAGCTAAAACCACAGAATCATCATGTGTTCTCATCTTTCTTCATAGATGATGCAGTGTTCTTAGATTTTAAGGAGCAAAACTGCACTAATTAACTCTGCGATACATGCCCCATTCCTATTTCTTACTTCTCACCTTAACTCCTTTCCTGGGCACTAGGAGGTAGCCTTGTTCAACCTTCTTTTTTGCTTCTATGTAGAGACTGTGGCCTCCAGAAATAGAGAAAATTCCTTTTGAAATGCTTTCTATCAGTGGCTCTGAAAGCTGCTTCAGTTCAGCTTGGCAGTATTTGACAGATGCCTCTTCAATTTGCAACAAGAAATCTTCCTTTTTTTCTTCAATGACTTCCTGCCGGGGAAATATAGGGATGTAAGAGAAAGAGCTGTTAGACAGAAGGTCCAATAGTGACCTCTTAAGAAGAAGCAATCTGATGATGTGTGATTGTAGTGGAACATGCAAATCACAGCAGGAGCTGGGAGATTTCCCTCAGTCCTATTTGTCACAATTTGTTTGCATAATCTTGGGAAATCCCTCAACTTTCTCAGCACCCTGCTCATTGTCTCTGAAAGGTCAGGATTAAACAACACAAACTTCCTGGTTCCTTCAGCAGCACTGTGATTATTATAGTGATGTAACCCTCAAGTGAGGAATAGAAACCTGAATGTGGCTAGGAGTAGAGTTTCCAAAAATGATTCATGTTGCTGTGAATGCAAATGTATGTATGAAAAGCCAACCCAACAAATAATGAGTGAAGTTTACTGTGTACTATCTAGGTTTTGGAACCCCTCATTAATTTTTCAAATGAAAATTTGAATGTGTAAAAACAAAGTGAAGAAAATTTTTGATTGTATTTGTAAATCACAAACCAAGGATTGAAAGAACTTGATTGAATTTTGAGGTCCCCTACAGCTGAGAACTCAGTTTGCTGACACTTTTTGTTCTTAGCCTTGTGAATTCCTAAGCACAGCGCTCAGCCTCCTTCAATGGACTTATGAGCTAGGGAACTGTGCACCAATGTATTTTGTACCTTTAAGCTCCTAAATTCATTCTAATTTGTTATATGCCAATAGGAAATCAACTGTCTTTTAGATAGAATGCCAATTGTCAGCCTATAGAACCTTGTAACTCACATGAATGCAGGTTCCTTCCACTAGGAATAGGAGATTATGCACAGTGGTCAAAAAAGTAGGCTTTAATCATCATTCCTGAAGGGCAGGAAGGAAAAAAAAAAAGGCTAAAATGCAATACCACCAGCTTGTTCTGGAATTCCCGATCTTCATCCTTGAAGGAGTGATCCATGAAGACCTTGATGGCCTCCTTCTCACAGGCTGCATGCTCATCCAGCAGCTCCTGGAGTGGGTCTGTGGGGAACCGCACTCGCTGGGCCATCTGCTCGCTGTAGTGGTCGGCTGCCTTCTGCACGGCTGCTGAGTTCTCTCGCTGGGCCAGAGTGGTGACTGCGTTCTCCAGGCAAGGCACTGCCCTGCTGTTGATGGCCTTCACATAGGTCTCCACCAGAGTCCTCAGTCCTGAAAAATCCAAGTAATTTAAGGACAAATATCAAGTAGTTATTTGCTTTTCTATATCATTTTGGAACCAGAGTTTCAAAGATCATCAAAACTGGATTTAGCACAAAATTCCTTTTTCTGTTTTGAGAAAGTCCTCCTTCTAGTGAAATTATTGACTTTCCTATTCAACTTTTTAGTGCTTTGAATTTATACAATTTAAATCACTGATAACCACCAATGTGATCATGATATCCTCTCAACAATCTAGTAAACCTGGAAAAGGAATAGATTTAGCCAGGAGAAGTAAATTGCATATATGAGACCAATTGTCTAATTTGTGGACTCTCAAATGACAATGTAAATCTCCATATAAAATATTATCAAAATTTTTAGGGCAATGACAGAGCATTAAAAAATTAGGGGAGTTGCTCTCAGGACAGACGCACTGCGTGTCTGCATGAGTCAGTATCATGAAACCACTTCTGTACATGAGATTATACTGAATTTTGGCCTCAATTCAATGAATTTTCAGGAATCTTGGCCTCTTATTACATCATTATTTTATAACTAGAATATATTCACAAAATGTTTTTTCTATTCACGAAGAGAAACACTTGTCCTATAGTGTTTACCACAAACACAAGTATTCTCTTTAACACATTCATGATTGGGTCATTCATGTCTCACTGTCAAGTGGCTCTGAACTTCTGATGGTACATTCATGTCTGTCCCATTGGGCAGCATGGGTCAGTCTCAGCAGGTATACAAGCCCCCACAATTAGACAGTCATGCACGTACCACAGGTTGTTCAAGCTGGCAGGAATGTGTTAACCTCAGCTTGTGCTTATAAGATCAGTGGAGTAGCTTCTTAAAATATATTACATCTTAATAAATCCTCATGTAGACATGATTAGGAAATATGACTTTCTATGTTTAGTATTCATATCAGATGAAAAAAATATTGCCTAATGAAAGGTATGAAAAAACTATACCACACACAATGAAAAGCAGATCTAAGTGCTGGGGCAAAGGTGACTCACGGTTCCCAGTGACCATGATTCCCTCTTTCAGCTTCTTGGGATTTGCATTGGCGAAGATGTAAGAACAGAATTTTTTTGATTGTGCTTGGAAATTATAATCCAGCCTGTCTTCTGGCAGTTCCTTAATATGAACTAAGAAATCTTTTTCTTTTGTGGGTTGATCAAAGACAAAACACTTTCGTTTTGGAAAGAAATGCCTGATACATTCCTTAGGCATGTTGGAATTTTGGATTTTGAGACTTCTGCCTGTAAAAGTTAAAAAAAATTAATCTTTGAAAGGACAGCTCTCAGGTAAGGGGCTGAAGTATTTTTACTTCCAGAGATCTCTGCATCACTGCATTCCCTTCCCTGTAAATCTCTTCTAATGCAATCATGTGATAGCTCATTGCAAATCAATCTGTCATTGATCATGTAAGACAAGAAAAAAATCCAGGTCTGCATAGAGGTAAAAGGCAACAAAGTAAGACTGACTAAGGAGGTCATCCATGGGATGGGATGACTCTTCCTTGGCCTCCCTGGTAATTGTACAGATGTTTATGGATTAAGTGTTTAATAAATGTTTCTTGAATGATCAACTAATGAAACAAAAAAGTTAGAAGTCCTCTCCTGATCTTATTATAGCCTCGTCAGAGATGAAATGTGGGTCTTACAACAAAGTGACACCAGAAAAGGGTTAGATGCTTCCAGGGACAATGTCAGGAAGAGGACGGATAATACTCAGGCCAGGATAAAAATATCTGTCAAATATAGACATGCATCATAATATGTTTAGCGATTTCTTTCCCTGAAAACTTTTAAAGAATAAAGTTAATTTAAACGTAAGTTGAAGACTTTCTTTACTTTCTTGTATCAGAGTCTGTTACACTCCACCTTATAGAATGATTAGGTCACACACAAAAGGTGTTTAATGAATGCTTTTGAAACAATGAATAAAAGAATGAATAAAATATTGATATTTTTAAGTGCCCAAATTTTTTTACCTTGCTAAATATAGTACATCTAATAAATCTATATGAAAATTATTGTGTACCTCTGTCAAATGAAGAGGGTGATGCTATAAAAAAGGTAAATTGAAAGATTTTACAGCGTTAATAGAAAGAAATGTGAACTTTTCTTAATTATTTAATGTATAAATATCACTACTCTGAAGAATGTTAACTTACCAAGTACTAGGGAAACATACTGTATAAAAGAATTATCCTTTGAAAATTAGATCATTTCATTTCATGTAATTCTGTTTATCAAATTCCTATTTTTTCTAAATGAAGAACAGAGAAGCACTTAATATGAACACAATATGTGGGACTTTGTATTAAAATACAAATATATGAGCATATATTATAATCTGGATTATTTTTTGAGTTATTAATTGGTCTAAAATAATTTGGTTTAGTATGTGCCTTGTGTTTTACTCTAGCACCTAGAAATTTTTCAAGTGATAATAACTCTTGAAAAACTACCACCAATCACTTTTCAACAGTTACCCGTTTACTATTAGCTTAGAGCTCAATCCAGTTTCAAATGAACACCTATGTCAAGTGCTGAACAACAGGGATTACTTGATCCCACAGCTAGAATGAAGCTTCCCCAACCAGGCCAAAGCTCCGTTACCTGGAATCAGCTTCAAGGCATTCTCCAGGTACTCATCTTCTGTGACGGGACGTCCATCTAACTTCAGCTCCAATATGAAATCCCGAACAGTCCAAACAAAATCTGGAAAGAAGCTTACAAACTCATCAGAGTCATCCATTCCCTCAGAACTTGAAGTGGACTTTTCCCTGATTAGCTCCGCTAGTTCAGTCACATAGCTGGGATCTTAGCTAAGGAATGACAGGGACCACATACACTAATTTCCAGGTCTCAAAAACCAATTTCTAACTCTTCTGTCCTGGTTGCCCTCCACCTCAAGCATAAGAACTGAGTCATTTGGACAAAGACAGTGTCAGTTGTCCTTCCCTTAAATCAATGATACACTCTGGCTCAGCTCCTGGAAGGGTACTGCAGCTCCTCCAGGGCCTGGTGGTTGATGGTGCTCATGCTGTGCTGCTGCTCAGAAGCACGGCCAGGGCGAAGATCCAGGAGTCATTCTTAGTGTTACCCTAGAAAGCACAGGAGGGCAAAGAACTCAGGAGTCTGCTCTTCATTCTTTCATTCTATTGCTTATTTACTACTTCAGCTGAAATATAGCAGAATAGTAGGAAGAAGAGCTAAGTTTTTTTGTTGTTTTTGGTACCGGGGATTGAACTCGGGTCCTTGCGCTTGCGCAGCAGGCGGAGAAACCACCGAGCTAAATCCCCAGCCCAACAGCTAAGTTTTGAATAGGATCTTAAATTTATACTTCTTTTTCTTTGTTAACCTCGGTCATTATCAGGGCCTTAGTTCCCTTAAGAAAATTGAATGATATTGAAAGTGGGTATACAATGCTTATATAGTTCCATTGTGTACCTAGGAAGGTACAGAAAAATATTCAGATACTACTTCATTAGATTCACTGGTTTCATTCGTGAAGTTAAATCCAACAACTAATTGGACACCTACAAAATACCAAACACTACATTGAGCTATGTGAACGCAAAGCTTTATGTGGCAGTCTAGAGAGGCAGACAAACATGGAAACGTAAATGTAACCAAGCTAATCACCTCTGTGAGGAGTAAAATTACATATTACTGTGAAGAAAAATGGATAAGTTCGGTAAAAGGGAAAAGTGTGGCACAACTTCAGAGCAATGTGCTGTGAGCCCGGGATCTGATAATCACAATCTCTTACATGTGAAAAATCAACCCTAGCCAAGGCAGAAAAAAGACAGGGTCATGCAAATGTATTACAGAGTTCTTCCATTTGTCTGAAACAATGGGTAGGTGGGTGGGTATGCAGATTGAAAGACCAGGCTGGAAGTGAGATTTGGCATAGGATATGATGGCCCATGGAAGTCTGGCAAATGGAGTTAGATACTATCCAAATCCCACCCCATGTTTTAGTGTCAGTGAGTAGTTCCACAGACAATAGCAGTTTACAGTATGGAATTTCTCCTTTGTACAGGCAGGATATGGGCCCTATGCTAACAGGACTTGATCGGAAAGGCAGGAAATTTTTTAGATTTTGAGGAAAAATGTTTTTCAGGTCTTTATTTTACAATCCATAGAAATACCCAATTCAGATAGATAGATTTAGAACAAACAGAACATCTCTTTCTACAGGATCCCACCATGAAATTTCTAAACCTTTTTAAACTTTTTATAGCAATGGAAGCCAAAGTCTGCACTGCTCCCTTCAAGTTAGGTTCAGTGTAAAGTAAAGTGAGAAGGTAAGTGATTCATTGCACTTAATACTGTGAAGACCAACATAGTTAAACTCCTATTTAATATTTAAATACTTCAAATCCAATTTAATACTTAAAATCCTGTTTAAAACTTTTTTGGATGCTCAAGGCCATGCTTTTATAGAAGTCAAAAAATAGGTTTCTCTAAAATCCAGATTTGAAGCAAAGCTGAATTCCTCGCTTATCTGAGGCTTTTCTGAAGATTAAATAGATTATTTAACTGCACTTATTTTCAGGCTTTAATTTCCACCCCATCATACCTACACAATTGAACCGGTAGCTTTCTATTAGGAGTTGAACTGGACCTTCCTTTCAGGCCCCCTAAATGATGTGCTTGAGTCCTAACCTGTAGTACTTCATAAAATGATCTTCTATGCACATAGGGTCTTTAAAGAGGTGGTTAGGCTCTAATCCACATGACTGGTGTTTCAGACACAGATGTATATTTTAGGGAGAAAACCAAATGAAGATGAAAACAGTGATCAGGGTAATGTATCTACAAGCTCAGAAATGGCAAGTATTGCCATGAAACCACCAAAAGCTAGAATGCAGGCATGGAAAAGATTGTCTTTCACATTCCACAGAAGGACTAACCTTGGTAATATCTTGGTCTTGGATTTCTAGCTTCTAGAACTGTGAGAAAACTTATTTCTGTTACTTAGCCACCCAGGTTGTAGCACTTTGACATGAATACAGTCCTACTACCTCACAGTTTATGGCTGAGATGTCATTTCCTCCAGGAAGCATTCTCTAAAGCATATAACCAGGTTAGATGCCTACTTTTGTGCATCCAGGACACCTTATACTGATCACACTAAGTGTATGCTGATTCCTGAACCAGGAACTAGGCTTTACCTTTTATTATAGCACTTAGGGTAAATAGTACAGTACCTTGGAATTCAGCTCCTCAATGAATATTTACTAGATTATATGATTTACCCAAATTAAAAAAATAAGAATATCTTCCCATAATATACTAAAATACTTAAGCTTACCAAAGAAGTAATTTCGAGGTATGAGAATTTAGAGTCATTACCCACAACTGGATTTGTAGTTCGCAGAAATAAGTCACAGAAGTTGAATTACGGTGGGAATTTAAGTGTAAGTGAAGAATCAAAGAAGAGAAGATTCTTTCATGAGTCTCTGATTTACCTTTTCCACATCACCCAGGCCCTCAGTGTCCAGAAGGGCAAGAGTGAATTGTGGCTTCTGAGGGTAGGGCACACACCACATCCAGATGCCCTTGGTTTCAGACCTTACTGTGGTGCCCAGGTGGAACCCTATAAGAGAAAGGAAAGAAAGTAACTTGGATATGGTAAATTCTGAGAATATAGAGACTGGGGTTCAGCCCTAAATGGTACTGAGCTAGAGAAGATGTAAATAGTAATGGGGTGGGGGGTGGCTGCATTGTCTCCATAGGCAGACTAATAGAAATTTGGCAGAAGCAAATGATACGAAGTTAACTTTTAAAAAGTCTCGAGCATGGGTTTAATAAAATAAGTAATCTAAATGAGAATATTTGAAAAAGTGTTCGCCCTTATTCATGATTAGGCTTATGTTATTCACATAAAGTAACCACATCAGCATGCTTTCCCCTTTGCTCTCTCCCTTCCTCCTACCTTCCTTCCTGCCTTCTTTCCTTCTCTCCTGCCTTCATTCCTTTTCACAAAACAAGACATATTTAACTACATTTCTAGGCCTCTTGGAGTGACATTACAATTTTAGCCAAAATGGTGTGTGAGAGAGAAGGAATAGTTACAAGAGTTGAGCTACACAGGAGAGAATGGATCGTATGCAGACTGTTAGAGTGGATCATTAGATAGAGCTGAGATAACTTTTTTGTTACTTGCATTAAGAGTGACTTTTGTGGATAGATGGAGTTCAAATTACAAATTTGATGATAAATATTAAGAAAAAATATTATAAGAGTTTTTTCTTTTTTCCTTAAGATGGACCTAGAGTAGATGTGAGCAGCTCACATTATCAATGGGTCCAAAAAATGGCCCCTGTTGGGCCAGGGATTTAGCTCAGTGGTTCCAGTGCCTGCCTTGCAAGCGCAAGGTCCTGAGTTCAATCCCTGGTACCAAAAACAAAACAAACAAACAAAAATGGCCCCTGTCCTTGGACAACACTCACCATGGTTCTGTCCTGCAAGATGATTCATCAGGTAGGATTTTCCTGTACGATACAGTCCAACAATAGCCACCACCACCACAGGATCAGTAATATTTTGAAGAATCTTTATTGCCTCTGGGTTCACTGTCAGTTTCTCTTTCTCATTTTTCACTAGACAAATGGGGTCCATGATGTTGGATCCAGATGCCACGGTAACCTGCAAACCCATAAAAGCTTCTCAATAGAACACAAGATCCCATGCATAATGAACTTCATATTGTGGAACACGTGTATCAACTTCTTACTCTTATATAGTACAAGAGATCTTGTACTGTCAGGTTGTCAGCTTCCATAATACCCTTGATCCCCCATGATACTGAAGCTGACACATGAGTATTACTTGTCTCCAATGACTCATTTACCTCAAAATAATATCCTTGTTAATAAATCCCTCTAAGAGAAAATCTCAGATAATGGTGATTTATTTAAATTATCTTTCTGACCCATAAAAAACAAACCTATAGAGTAGAGAGTATTATCCCTCCTTTTCTGATGCAGTAAATGCAAAGTAGGTATGCTGAATGACTTTTCACAAGTCTTATAAGTTGGTCAGTGGAGCAGGAATTGAATAATGTGTCTCAGTTCTATAGTACCTACTACAAAAATCCAGCTGTCAAACAAATATTTTTTTCTGTTAAGTTTCTTACTACAGAAATATCAAGGATTTTCTTGACTAATCACATGAGATGTCATTACAGTGTGTGATCTGTGTGGATGATATTTATCTTGAATTGTCATTTTTTCTTCATTAATTTTACTGGTACATTTTAGGTATACAATATGCTGACATTCATCATTGGGAATTTGTATCTTTACATAATGTATCTTGGTTCTTATTTTTTTCCCCATTGTCCTGCCCTCCCTTCAATCTCTCCACTCTTATTACAAAGACTTTGTTTCCATTTTTTCTTTTCTCGTATTAATTCTATTACCTTCTTTCCTTTCCCCAATCCCTCCCACTTTCTCTTCCTCTTTAGACCTTTTCCTTCTATTTCACAAACTCAGTTATGCCTTTTGATCCTTATTTACACTTTCAGTTTCTCACACAAGAGAAACTATTTGGTATTTACACATGTGTGTCCTATTGATTTCACTTAAGTGTATTGCCTCAGTGTGCATCCATTTAGCTATAAATGTCTCTAATTTCTCATTCTTTATGGCTAAGTAGTACTCCATTTTGTAAAAATAACCACATTTTCTTTATCCAGTCTTCAGCTGATGGACAATTGGGCTGTTTCCAAGTTTTAGCTATTACAAACTGTGCTGCTATGAATATGGGTGTGCATATATCACTGTGACATGATTCTTTTAATTCTTTGGGGAAGATACCAGCAGGGGAATAGCTGGATCATGAGACCTCTAATCCTAGTTCTTTGAGGTATTTCCATACTGATTTCCATAGTGATTGCACAAGTCTACACTCCCACCGGCAGAGGAGCAGTGTTCCTTTTCCCCCACAACCTCGCCAGCAATTGTTATTGGTTGATTTCATGACAGCAGCCATTCTTTCTGGGGTGAGGTGGAATCTCAGCATTGTTTTCCTTTGCATCTCTCTAATGACCAGTGATGTTGAACATTTTTTCATGTTTATTTGCTATTTTTACTTTGTCTGAGAAATGTTATTAATTTCAGATGTCCATTTTTGGATTGGGTCTTTAAATTTGGGAGGTCTGATTTTTAAAATTTCTTTACATATTCTAGATAGTAGACCTTCGTCTGAGGAACAGCTGGTAAAAATTTTTTCTCCACATTGTGGGTTTTCTCTTCGTGTTGTTTGTGGTTTCTCTTGCTGTGCAGAAGCCTTTTAATAAGAAGAGATCACACATGTTGATTCTTTGTGCTAGTTCACTTGCAACTGAGATTTTGTTCATGAAATCTTTTCCTACGCCAAGAGTTCTACCTAACCTCTCTTCCAGCTGATTCAGTGTTTGTTTTAATGCTTAGATCTTTGATTCATTTCTATTTTAGTTTAGTGTATGGTGAGAGAAATAGTTCTTGTTTTAATCTTTGGCAAGTTGAAACCCAATTTTTCCAGCCTCATATTTTTCCTCCAGTGAGGGTGTTTGGATCCTTTGTGGAAGATGAGGTGTCTGAGTGTGTCTGGAATTGTTTTGACATCTTCTAATCAGTTCCACTAATCCCCAGGTCTGTTTCTTTGCCAATGCCTTGCTGTTTTTATCACAGTGGCTTTGTAGTACAGTTTCAAGTTGGGGATTTTGATACCTCCTTCCTTGTCTTTTTTGCCTAGAATTGCTTTTGCTATTCTAGGTCTCTTCTCATTCCAAATGAATTCTTGGGTTGTTTTCACAATGTCTGTGAAGTATGTTGTTGGAACTTCAATTGGGATTGCATTGAATCTATATAGCAGTTTTGGAAGTATGGCCATTTTCACTATAACTGGTATGTATTGATTGGTCTTTGTCATGACCTTTTCCTGTTGTTGGAATTTTCCCCTTTGCATTTAATTTCTTGTTGTACCTGATGGATTCATTCTGCTGGGCTTTCTGGGGTTGTGATCCTCTTTGTTTTTTCCTAGGATATTTTTTTGAGTGCTGGTTTAGTATTCATGAAGTTCCTCGGGTGTTTTTTGCAATGAACAAATCTTATTTCTCCACCAATTTTGAAAGATAGTTTTGCAGAGTACATCAGTCTGGGTTGGAGATTGTTTTCTTTTAGGGCTTGAAATATGTCACTCCAGGCTCTTCTTTTTTTTTTTTTTTTGGTAGCGAGGATCGAACTCGAGCCCTTGCACTTGCCAGGCAGGTGGCAGAACCACTGAGCTAAATCCCTGGCCCAAGGCTCTTCTTGACTTAAGGGTTTTGTGTTGAGAAGTCTGCTCTGATTCTGATGGGCTTTCCTTTGTCTGTGATTTGTTTCTTTTCTCTAGCTGCTTGTAGAACTTTGTTCTTCTGGTAGGTTTCTGGAATCTTAACAATTATATGCCTATGTGTGCATTTTTTTTTTTAATCAAGTCTAGTTGGTGTCCTATATGCCTCATTTATCTGTATATCAAGTTCTTTTCTCCTACTTGGGAAGTTTTCTGCCATTACTTCTTTAAACAGTTTTTTATGTCATTTGCATTCTCTCTTCTTTCCTCATTGACTTCAATCAGTCTTATGTTATTCTTCTTTGCATCATCTAGCAGCTGCTGGATTGATTTCTGGTGGTCCCTTACTATTTTTAAGAAATTTTTATTTTCCTAGTCACTAATACCAATCCTGTCTTTTATATCTGATATTCTGTCCTCACACTGGCTCATTCTGCTGCTTACGCAGCTTTTATTGGAGTTTTTAATCTCCTGGATATCTGTTTGTATCTGTTTTATGGATTCCATTTGTTTCCTTTGCTGGGTTTCCATCATGTTGCTCAGCTCCTCTTTTTTTTCATCTGTTTCTGCTCTAGAGTTATTAATCATGTCTTTCACTATGGACACAATCCCTCTTGTTATCTGGGAAATTATTTCTTATTCCATTTTTTTCAGATCCTCTTTCATTACCAGTTGAGGGAGTCCAGGTGGTTGAGTATCAGATTGTTTCATCTCTTTGCCCCTTGTGGTTGCCTTAGGTGATCTGGAAGTCTGGTTTTGAGTCTTGTTTATATGACTAGTCATTTCAACAGATGCAGCCTGCTGCACCTTTGTTGAGGTGACTTTGCTTGCCCAATGGGCTTCAGTTCTCATCAAGCCTCAGAGAGGCCTTCTCTCTGCTACCCACCACTGCACCAATTCCTGGGTTCAGAATAGTGGCCTTCTGGATCCCTGCTCTGCCCTGTTGTCCTGGTGGGGTTTTGGCTGGGGGCTGTGCACACTTGGGATGGTATCTTGTTGTGCCTCCGGCTGGGGCCTGCCCACCTCTTTTAGTTGTTGTCTAGAAGGGCCTTTGGCTGGGGGTTGTGTACCTGAGTTGCTGGTATCTGATGGGGCTTCTGGCTGGGGTCTGCCTGCACTTACCAATGGTATCTGGGTGGGCCTCTGGTTGTGGCCTGCATGCCTGTATAGTTGTTTTCCGGGCAGGCCTTTAGCTGGAGCTTGGGGTCCAAGCCACTGGTGTTTGGGTGGGGCCCTGGCTGGGACCTGCTCACTCGCACCACTCTGGTCCATGAGGGTTTCTCACTGGGATCTGGTAAATGTACTGCATACGTTTATCTATGGTATCTGGATGGCTTCTGGCTGTTGCTTGTACACCCACGCAACTGTTTTCCAGGCCGGCCTTTGGCTGGTGCCTGCAGGCCCAAGCTGCTGCTTTCTGGGTGGGGCCCTGGCTAGGACCTGTGAACCCATGCTTCTCTGGTCCATGTGGGTTTGAATTGTCATCTTAGAAGTCCCAGATCAACTTATCAACTGACAGAATAGTTTTCTAATAGAAGACTTTAATCCATCTTAAATTTTAGGCAAGGTATAACTCTGACAACTGTTTCATTCATTATACATTTAATGAGCCTGCATCATGGTCAGTTGTTTAGTTCTGTGAATATTAAGTGCATTGGAGTCCCAGTGTTCAAAGTACCTTAGAATCCATATCAATTGGGATTCAGTTTATATATAATGGAATGTCCTCAGAAAACAGATGCTTAAGGAACTGAAATTTTATCATAAAAGTTGAAGGGCAAGAGCCCCGTGATTCTGTTTCATAGAGTCACTAGGGGCATAGCTTCCTTCTACTATCTGCTTTGCCTTCTTTGAACATTTCACCTCCTGGTCCAAGATAGCTTACCATCGCATGTGCTTTCTGTCCAACTGGGGAAGAGCTTCAGTTTCCTTTTTTAAAGGTGTCTCTTGGTTAATTGATCATGCATAATCACTCTGCTCACTTTCCATTTGTTAAAATTGTACCTTGTGACCAGCCTATCTGCAAAGAAGGTTGAGACATTTAGTCTCTACTAAGTTGTCTGCTTTTCTAGATACATAAAAGATGTTTTGTTACAATAGAAGAAAAGAATGGAAATTTGAAGAGAAAAGGCAGTCTGTTGAAGTAATCATGAATACCTCATGAACTTATTATATACTGAAGAAGGGACAACATATCATTCATGACATAATAAGCAGAGAATTGCCGTGATAGGTATGTATACAACATGGTGTTAGAATAAAAGAAGGGTGAACTAATATCAAATGAATTAAGAATGAGTTAACAAATGAACAAAGTTGGTGGAGTAGGAGAGTGAAAAGTGAGAAGAAACAGGCTACACAATTAAGAGAAAGAATAACATCAGAGTGAGGTTTCTAAAATCACTTCTAGAAATTTAGCTTGGGTAGCTGAGTAGATATTAGCAAAAAATAAGAGAAACTGAAATATACATATGTTTTTGGTGTATAAAAAATTTCTGGGCATGGTTAATTTCTAGTATGCTCTCAGTTCATTCTAACAGAATGATATAAGTTTGAATACAAGCATCACAGCCTAGTAGATGTTTTAACCCACAGTTTATCAAGCTTATTCCTGTTTCCTGTAATTCAGTACTGGCCTCTTACTAAGGTGAATTCAACTCTCAGCACATAAAAACACTCAGGGACATTGGCTGACTTGCATTATGCAGCTTAGGAAGAAGGGCTACCCGAAAGTTAGGCATAAAAGAATACACAGCAGTGCATAGAAACAGCTGTTGTTCCTTTATTCTTTTAAAAATAACAAAGTGAGAAAGCAAAGGACACAGGTGGAGTTCACAGAACACTAATATTTTGTGTCTCACTACAGGCATATAGTGCTATAAGAAAGGAACAGTCAGGGGAGGTTGTAGAATTTGTAGAATAATTGTCTCTTTAGCCCAGGAGGAGTATGTACCAAGAAAAGGAAGCGATCAACAACATTCAGTACATAGAGTTCACCTAAGAGGACCAAACACATCTTTAGATTTGTTGATATTCATTAATTTAACAAACTTCTATTCAGTACCTGCCTTGTGCTGCACAGGTTCAGTATCTGGTAGTAAAGAAAATGGATACAAACTGCTCTCATGGAATTCTATTCTCATGAAAAAAGAAATGAATTAAATTAGAAAAATATGCATACATTCATGCACACACACACACACACACACACACACACACACATATATATATATATATATACATACACAAATATTAAGTGCTTTGAAGAAAATAGGAAGGGAAAGGGGATGAGGAGTGTTGGAAGTTGAGTTTATACATAGAGTAGTCAGGGAAGACCCGGCTGAGAAGGTGACAAAGGGAGGTGATCATCCATCTTGATGAGGCCAGATTTAGTGCTCATGGAGCAGGCTGGAGGCAGGAGTAAGAGAGAGTAGTAGCAAGAGTGAAAAAAAGTACATCCTCCACAAGCGTAAAGAGGGTATCTTTTAAGTGCCTCAGGAAAAATATGACTCTAGAAAGTAATTTATTTAGCTAGAAAAAAGATATTCTTGTTCATTAGACAAAAAGGAATAGAAGCCTTAGAGTCAGTGTTTGAAGATTTTCCAGGATTTGACAGAACTCCTAAATCTGGGAGAGGCATTATTTTGGATTTGTTCATCTTCATGGCTAGGGCATTTTGTGACCTCAAGAAACAGAAGCCATCAAAAGGCTTTGACTGTCCCTGTATTGCAAGACGTCGCTAAGCGACATACTCCTAGCCCTCTGCCAATAGGGGGATCCCTTACCTCATCATTCCAGGAGTCCTGCAGCCAGAGCAGGAGGACAAGCTCTCCCACCAGGTGTGCCCTCAAGTCAAAGGTGACTTTCCTGTGCACACCTGTGCAGATCTCACAGAAGGGAGGCATGCCCACAGCTCATGGGTTATTATGGGTGAGCTATGTTGCATCTAAACACAACTCTGTATCTTATAGGGCAGGCTAAATGTTGACATGCAATAACAAACTTCATGCCTTTTTTGAGACACCAGATGATGTATTCTATAGCAACTGGTAATTTCTGAATAAAGAATGACTCCTCCATAACTTTTAAACATTAATGAATTAATATGTATCATTATGTCCTGTGAGTTGTAAATTAGCAAGTAAACTAGGTTGACAATATTTTTGTTAGAAAAAACACACCAATAGGTTTTTTTAAACCAACTTCCTCTGTACAATTTCCGTTCTTTTTCTGTGGCTGTTGGGGAACCGGATTTATGAAGTAAAACATATGCATGGTTGATGAGCTTCCCCCAGTTTTTGTTCTTGTCCCTTTTTTTCTAACTATAAAGAAGGACTGAGGTTTCCAAGCCAAGAAGTTTTCAAATCCAAATTAAGTAAGTAGAGACAGTTCTATTAAGTAGTAGAATGAGAAAGTTCCTGTCTGAGAGGCCTGAATTCTCGGCAAGTACCACAGGTTATGTGGATATAGTTCTTGGAAATACCACGCATTGCAAACAGTTCAAGAGAAACAGTTCTCTCGGTTTAAACCGACCGGTTTAGACCTCCTAACCGTTTTTTACCCTTCATTAGTGAGAGTGTGATTGAATTACTTTACACAATTTCTCCAATTACCGCTAGGGGGTAATGAGGAAACTTCTGAAGACTGGAGGAGTCTGAAAGAAGTGACCCTTTTCCTCATCCCAGCAGCGCCTCTACAGGGTGATGAACTTTGGTTCCTTGGTTCGGGAAAAGAGTTGAGCCCACTTTCCGCAGATGGGGTTAGGATGCACCCTCAGGGGTCCACGTGGGGCTTTCGCGGCAGCCCGGGTGGACGCTGGAGGAAGAAGAGCGCATCCTGCGGGTTTCGCAGGAGGGGCAAGCCTTAGACTGTCAGCCTTGAGACAGTCAGTCTCTGCCAAGCTTTGAGACTGTCAGTCTCTCTCTCTCTTTTGATTTCTTCCATTTCATTGTAAGATGCACTGATCGTGTCGACGTCTGTCTCTAGAGCAATACATGCTCTGGAGACGTTGGAGCTCCATTTGCTGCCTTCTGAGTTCAGCTTCAGCCATCGCTTTTTGTCTTTCAGCCTCTTCCTAAGAAGCAGGGAATGGAAACTGTAAAGCTTAGCAAAAATGAGGCCTTTTTCTTTCTGGTGGTCTAAATCATTGACTTGTCCTTACTTGTTTTAATCCGCTTTAGTAATAGACAGTCCCTGTACATCTCTCTTTCATTAATGTACTTCTATAATTATTCACCCTCCTCTTTTCTCTAGCTCCAGAAACATGCTTCCATCACTTAAATTGCTGTTTCTAGGTTTCCATCCTGACAGTCCCTTTCCCTTTATCCTATGCAATTTATTTGAATAATCTTAGTCATATCTCATTTATGATTTCATTTCTTATTTATGTACAGGAGGATGTTAGATACTTCTTTTTAATCAGAAGAGGCCGATTAAAAAAAGAGCATCCGGCACATTGAGGTGATACTCTTACGTGAAATAAACAGGACACACATGTGTAAATACCATGTAGTTTCTCTGGTGTGAGAAATTGAAAGTGTAAATAAGGACTCAAAGGTATAATAGATAATGTGAAAGAGGAAGAAAAGGGGCAAAGGGGTAGGGGAAGTGGGTGGGGTAGGAAAAAGGAAAGAAGGGAATGGAAATAATATGAGAAAATGAAAAAATGGAAACAAAGTCTTTGTAAATAGGGAGGGGTGGAGGGGTTGAAGGGAGGGCAGGGGAAGGGGAAAAATAAGAACCAAGAGAGATAATGTAAAGGTGCAGATTTCCAATGATGAATGTCATTATATTGTATATCTAAAATGTACCAATAAAATAAAATTAAAATTTGAAAAAAAAAAGCATCCAGGTGACATCCAGCATCAGGTGAGGCATCTGAGCCCTATATGAGGATATGTTCCAAGTCACCATACTTTTAGAGACAGAAGCAGAGATCAAATACTACAGGTTCCCCATCCTGCCCTTTGGGAAAGAGCTGCAATCTCAAGAATGTCTTAGAGTAGCTGCTGAGCAACCAATACCTGCAGGTAGGCTGGAAATCCAAGGGGAAGGGTTAAGATGTTGACTGTCTCAGGAGGCTGCTCACAGAGGAACTTCATACCAGGCTTGCAAGGGCAGCAGTGCTCTGTTCTCCCACTCACTGGGATGGCAGTTTTGACACCTTAAGGGCTGTGTGGTAGGTCACTTTGAGACTTAACTTGCCTCATCTGAAACCTGGGGCACACTGGTTCTGCTCCCCAGCAAATAGATTTAGATGTGAACAAGAGCTACTGCTACTCAAGCAATGTTAAAACTAAAAGACTGGGTGTAACAAACTGCAAGTTAAAGTTTTTCAGAACAAGAGATGATCAAGAGAAGGGCAGGAGCAAAGATACAGCAACAAGAAATTAATGTAACAAAGTATCTATAATCAAGTCAAAACATTTTACAGAGCAATTACCAAGTTTAAAGACTACTATGGGGCTGAAATGCCTTATTTTTAATTTATCAATGTATAGTACTTACTCTTTACCAAATACCATTCTGGACACAAGTATTAATGCGTTTAATTATTACACTAACCTTACAAAATATGTACCACCTCTGTCTCCATTTTGCATGAGAGGAAAACAAGGCACAGAGGGAAGCGAGAACTTGCCTAAACTGCGTATTTGGTAAGTGGTGCCTGAGTTCACCCAGCAGTCTGACTGCAGAGTATTTGGCTTGAGCTACAAGTTATGCACCTCTCCTCTTTGCCAAAGGCTCCTGCTCTCCTGCTTACAGAGAGAGGAGAGATGAGTACAACCCTGAGGTGAAACAATTGATAACTACCTGGAGCCGACGTTCCTGTTCCCTTTGCTGCTGTGCCAGAAAGTTTGCTCTTTCTATCTCCATCTGTCTCACTTGCTGCTGATGGAGCCTCTCCTTCTCCTCCACGATTCGCTGATTCTCCCTGGCAATGGCCGCCAGTCTTTCAGCTCTGGCCCTTTGAGCCTCTGCTCTCCGCTGGGCCTCTGCAAAGAAGAAGGAAAATGACAAACTTCTCTCAGATTACCTTCCTTCTGCTTCCCATCTTGCTATTCTAACTCCATAGGTAAAATTCCCTGGAGTTATTTTTACTTTCCAGATATCCAAATTTTAGCTGACTGTGCCATACGCAGGTAAGGGATCTTTGCAATTCTTGCCTTAGATTAATGATCTGGGGCGATACAGGTCACATTTATTTTTAAATTTGCAGAGATTTCTTGTATGTCTTGCGTTGCTTCCATTTCCCTCTTACCTTGCCTCTCCTTTTCCTTGGCGGTGAGAGCCTGGTCTGTTTGTAGAATTGCATCACTCACAGACTGCTTAGACTTTAAATATTTCTGCAGCTCTTCTTCAGCCTATGGCCCCCAAAAAATGCAGTTACAACTAAGAAAGGGTGATTATAAATGACTTTAGATTTTTCCTCAAAGCATCTCTCCCTTCTAGGAGATGGTCAGCTAGCACCTGGTGGAACTGTCCGTAAGCGTATTCTGTCCCAGGTATGGGCATGAGGCATGCTGTGCCAATCACAGCACCCATTTGCCACTAGATATTAAAAAGCTGCTTGCAGATGAAAAAGTTCTGCATCTTAGGTGTTAAATGGCGAATATGTCTGAGAGTGGTGGTGCATGTCTGTAATCCCAGCTACTCAGGAGAATGAGAGTCAGGAGATAACAAATTTAAGGTCAGCCTAGACAATTTAAGAAGACCCTGTCACAAAACAAACAAACAATGAAACAAAAACACACAAAAAGCTACGTGTAGCTCAGTGCTAGAGTGTTTGTCTGGCATACACCCTGGGTTGTTCAATTCTTTTTTTTTTTTTTTTTTGAGGATCGAACTCGGCACCTTGAGCTTGTGAGGCAGGCAGTGGAACCACTGAGCTAAATCTTGGGCCCTTGGGTTGTTCAATGAGAGAGAGAGAGAGAGAGAGAGAGAGAGAGAGAGACTGACTAACATGAATGCAGGCTGGAAATGAGATGCTGTATCTCCTGGGGACTTAGGGCATTAAAGAGGGGTTGGGCCCAGAACTGGGATGTCATCTTTGTTGCCATATGGGTTGAACCTGGTTGAAAATGAAGCCAAGTCAGGAAAACTGAACAGAAAAATAAAGAAAGATCTAGGGAAAAAAAGAAAGGTGGAAAATTAATGACATTTAAGTCTTAAATTTATGTGTACTCGAAACTGAATTAAAACCTTTGAAGCTTCTGTCCTATGCAGCCAAAAAAAAAAAAAAAAAGGGTCCTTTGTTGTATTGAGTATTTTTTTTCTTGGTACTGGGGATCGAACTCAGGACCTTGCACTTGCAAGGCAGGTGGCATGTTGTATTGAGTATTAATGGTTACAATAAAATTTTGATTACGGTAATGGCTCATTTTAATCTCACAACTATGCCAATGTACATGATTACATGATTTCCCATTTATATTCATTCAATGAATGAATAACTCCTAGGCAGAGACACAAACCTCATTCTTAGGCCTATATAGGTGTTTTTATTCTTCAATGCTTTTTTTCAAAAGGAGGCCATCTTTTCCATAATTAATAGATAAACTAAAGATACCTGTATTCCTTTCCCAGGCTCCTGATAGTACTTTGCCTTCAGCTCTTCCCTTTTCTGAAGGAAGAGATTATGGCCTCCTGGCCTAGAATAAATCCCGAACATCATGGCTTCTTCCAGAGGACAAAAAATGTTCTGAAGTAAAGCTGAGCAACGTTTTGAAGAGGCTTCCTTGTTCTGCTTGCAAATATCTGTTTGCTTTGCATCTAGTAGGGTCTTCAAAGGGACAAAAACCCATGGTGATGTTAACAAAAATTCAGTATTTCCAGAAATTGTTTCCAAAAAGAATCCATTTTTCTATAAATTTAATGGAATATAAACAAGACTGTGTCTTTCCAATCAAACCTGGAAAAGTTCTGAGGATGATACTGTATAAAAAATAACTTTTAGTTTTGGATTAGAAACCACTTTCTCTTTATTTTTCTCCTTAGATGTAACCTTATGACCACATAACCCTTAGCCTTATGCCCAAGTATTAAATGCAACTTACTGTTTTACAACATTTCTGCTTTTAGTGTTTTTCCACCTTCAATGAAAGGGAAGAATTGAGTAATTTAACTAGAATGGTATTAGATTATTCTATTAAACTTGGATACATTATATTTTAGTAGATAAAAATGGTGATTCTGTTTGACTAATAAGGCAGTAAAGTTAATATTATAAATACAATTTTAAGAGAATAGAATCAATTCAAGCTTGCTCCATGGGTATAACAATGAATATGAGTTGTGTCCATATGTGGAAACTTCAAAATCTAAACAGTCTACAGCCATGATGGCGAACATTTTAGAGCTTTCAATGATACCATCAGCCCGCTGCAGGACGAGTATCATAGGTTCGCCACTACTGGCCCTATTTATATGTCTGCTTGTTTTCAGAATAGAAGTGATATTATAGATATATAAGTAACTACCATTATTTTCTAGTCTAGTAGAAACTTTTAATTAATTAAGTCCTGTTTTACCATTCATAGAAATATTTGCCTTCTATGAAAGTTACTGTCCAGGAACTAGAACAAAAAATATTAATAATTACCTGTAATTCCTTCTGGAAGCTTTGGTCCTCATCCTTGAAAGAGTTCTTTGTGAATATTTCCATGGCCTCCCTCTCACAGGCCCTGTGCAGCTCCAGCAGCTCCTGGAGGGTTTCTGTGGGCAGCTGCACCTTCTGGCCCATCTGCTGATCATAGTGGGCCAAGGCCTTCTGCACTGCAGCTGAGTTTTCTCTCTGGGCCAAGGCCAGGACTGAGTTCTTGATGCAGGGCAGATCCCCACTGTTGATGGCATTGACATAGGTTTGTGCCAGGCTCTCCAGACCTTCATAGAGGAAGAGATGTTTATGCTGTTGGTGCAGAGAGTCTATGATCTATTTGACTAGTTCTCACAATGTCAAGTTAGTAATTCATTGACTAAAATTTTTCAGCATTCTGGGCAATAGTCAAGTGGCCCAGATAAGATCTTTTGGAAAATTATATGATTACAAAACCTGGTCTTTCCTTCTTCTATTTTTTTTGATACCGGGGATTGAACTCAGGACCTTGCATTTGCAAGGCAGGTGGTGGAACCACTGAGCTAAATCCCTGGCCCTCTGGTCTTTCCTTCTTTAGGAAAAAAACATAGTGTTCAAAGAAGAAAATAGGAAAAAATCTCAAGACATATGTGACAGTTCACATAACATAGCTCTCCATAAACAAATGAGATTATAAAAAAAGTCATGCATACTTGATTCAAATGCTCTAGACCTCTGGGTTTTTAATCTTTCCTTTCTTTCCCTTTTCTTCAGTTTTCCATTTCCTTCAGAATTTCCCTTTCTCTTTTATTTTATTATGGTAAAGTCAGCATGGAGAAAAATAAGCAATTTTAAAGGAAGTTTGTCTTATTCTTTGCTGGAATTTCTCTGTTTCAGTGCTCTGTCAATTTATTCTCAATTTCCACCTTAAATATAGCAATTATTTACAGAATTCTGAGACACAGAGTTTTTAGGTAAAACTAGAACATGAAGTATGCTTAGATATCTTTTAGGAATCTAAGCAAATTGAGTCTTTGTATATTTGTATCAACCATGTTCTCTTTCTACCAGGAACATGTATGCCTTATTCACTTTTTGCCTATCAAAACTGTGACACATAATGCAAACCCAAAATGTTTGTTGAACAAATGCTGCCAATCAATGTGGATTAGTCTAGTTCAACAGTGGAACACTATCTTCATTTTTTTCCCAATTTTATATAACTTTAGGCATTACTAAAATATAAAATACTAGAAATATTTTTCTTATCCATTAAAACTTTATAAACATGTGGCACATGATTTTCATGGTGATAATTACTTATGCATTTGTCACCATTGGTCCTACAAGGAGACTCATGTCTTTCTTATACTTTACATCGAGTTGAAGAAAATTACCTAAACAGATACTCACGAGGTCCATTGACCGTGATGCCTCCTGGAAGAATCTTGGCTGTGGAGTGGCTGAAGACATAAGAACAGAATTCTCCCACTTGTTGCACAAACTCAGGATACAGCTCATCATCATGCAGCTCCTCAAGCCGGGCAAGCTTCTTCTTCTCAGCGGGTGAGTCAAAGATAAAGCATTTCTTTCTTGGAAAGAACTTCTTTATACACAGACGGGGCAAATTGAAATTGTGAATTCTCTCATTGCTACCTGGAGAAGAAAAAATAGAATTTTAGTATAAAGTTAGTGGTCATTATTTGCTCAAATAAATTTCCTTTCCCCTAATGTTACTTAGTAATATGCCTTTGTAAACCCTGAGGAAATAATCAGGGAAAGGAAGAAAAAACAAAATTTGATCCAAAAATAGATATGTGATATAGTTTAATATTGAATCGATTAGTTTATTCTAAATTATTAATATTTATTATTTGTTTTGTAAAAGAGTTAAGTGGATAAATATGGAAAAGAAGACATCCAGCCACCTACAATAAGAGGTAATTTGTGGGGTTATTTTTTTCCTTTTTCCAAACCAAAATGCCCTTACCTTCTTTGACCATTAGTGAATTTTCCAGGTACTCATCTGGTGTGATGAGTTTTCCTTCTGCTTCCAGACCCAGGTAGAAATCTCTCAGAGTCCACACTAAGTTTGGAAAGAAGCTCACTAAGTCAGCAGCATCTTCAACCTCATTAAGTTCAGGTGAGTTCCTTGCCCTGAGCACATCTGTCAGTTCTGTCACATTGCTGAGACGCAATTAAGGAAATTTGCAAAAATAGGAGAGCATCAAAGCCCACGTTTTATTTCATGCCTCCCCAAGCCTGTATTTTTTCTCTAGCAGTCAAATTCTAGCAGTAAATATAAAGGCTCTTTTTGTTGTACTTTTGATGTTTATCATAGTTAAATTTTTGTGATTCACCAGATTCCACAGCCTTATAGCTGGTGAACAGAGATTTCCCTGGCTTTGCTGCCATCCTGCACCACAAAAGGATACTGCAGTAGGTCGATAGCACCCTGGTCAATGTTGTTCATGGTGTTGTATACAAAGGTGCTGCTCAGCAGGATCGCCAGTGCAAAGATCTGGGCATCATTTGTATCATCAACCTAAAAGTCGGAACAAATTTCTCTTATCTCATGGCATTCCCAGATGAGCAATCATGACAATAAGATCCTGACATATAAATATTAAACAACACAAAAGTCATTGTCAGACACATGAACTTTGTGTCAAAACTATAAGTGATTTTATACTGATCCGTTTATTGTTAACTCACTAGTTTCTATTATAACTGCTGCTAGATATTTGCAATATGAATAGTCAAAGATAATTGGGTAACCACAGTACTTAAAATCAATGTTTTCCAGGGTCTAAAATAAAAATGGCCTATATACATGATGTATATATGTTTTATTGAGTAATTACTATCCACAAGGCAGTCCACATTACTGATCTTATCTATTGCCAAAAACAATGCTGTAAGCTGTTTATAATTACTACTACATCTTGTAGAGGAGAAAATGAAGTTGAAATTATGGCTTTTCATTGTTGAATGTTAGCAAATCAAAAGAAAAATTTTAAAAAACATAAAAAACAATGGATATTCAAGAGAAATTTCTGTATCTGTGCAAGAATCAGCCTGCGTCAGCTCACAAAAGCTAATTGTATACATCTCTTTCCAAGTCTGAATGTAGTGACCTCACTTTGGTAGACTGAAACCAGTTATGATTGGAGGGTTTAGGAAATGGTACTGGTAAACATCAAGACATTTTTCTCAATGTAGCTGGTTGTTAAACACCAACATAGACTAGAAAGGCCCATGTGTTCAGAGTTTAATGATTTGGATAAGACTGAAGAAAAATTAAATTTCAGGGATAATTATTTTTGTCAAAGTCAGAGAGCTACAAGTACTAGAGATTTGAACTGAAGTTGGCCTAACGCAGAGCCTTAGCCTATGTTCTTTTTTGTAAGACTAGGCTTGTAGCAGTGATTTTATCTCCAACATCTGTATGCATCTAGGAATTACTTAGCTCAATATAAGGATAATTCTTCCAGTATTGATTCTGCCTTGTAAATATATGTTCTCACTTCAGCCTTCCTAAATCTCACTATCAATAACAGGAAGGAGAAAAGGGCGTATACCCTGTTCAAGAAGAAGTACAAATTTAGGAAAAAGCAAAAGCAAAACCAAACCCAAAACTCCCTGTGTAAAGAACTTCACAGATGAGGATATTAATTAAAAAATAATCTTTCTTCTTTACCTTCTCTATGTCTCCCAGACCTTCGGTGTCAAGCAGAACTAGGGTGTGGTCTGGCTTCTCAGGATGAGGCACACACCACATCCAGATCCCCTTGGTGTGGGCCTGCAGCGTGGAGCCAACAGAAAACCCTGCAAAGGGAAGAGGAGAGGTTGTCATAGACAAGGTGTCTGGAAATTGGGTTCTTTCTGGATAATTATTATAGTGATTAAGCAAAGCAAGAAGAAGAGATTGCAGAAAATACAAGTATTGATCTGAATTTCAATAGATGAGTGAGGAAATAATATCAAATAAAATAGTTTGGATTTGATAGGGTTTTAATTATAATATCATGGTACTAAAATTTTAAGTTTATGTATATGGAAATTATTTTATTGATGTCTTATTCCTTATGAGGGGAACATGTGTTTTCCCAAGGAGCTCTTAAGGCAAACAAAATAAAATAAAAAATGAAGTTATATGTCAGGGATAGTGAGCTACCTTTTATTTCCCAGGAGATAAAATGATTAATCATGGCCCAAGCACTGGCTATCAATATGCATCTCCAACTTTTTTCTCCTTACATCCCCGTGCTGTATGGTGACATCATGGGTAGACAGTGGCCCAGCAGAGCTTTGTTGGTGGCACTCACCCTTTTCCTTCCCAGCCAGCTTGTTCATCAGGTAGGATTTGCCTGTGCGGTAGAGGCCCACGATAGCCACCACCACGACGGGCTGGGTGATGGCAGACAGGATCTTCAGAGCTTCTTGCTTAACCACTAGCTTCTCTTCAGTGTTTTCAATGAGGCACAGTGGCTCTGGCATGATCTCTGGGGCCATGTCTAAGATGAGTCTATGTCTGCCAAGGAACACATGGGATGGGATGGAATTTCTAGTGTTTCAGCAGAGAAAGCTCTTTTGCCTACTAAACCTGGGAATACACTATTCGCTAGCATGGCCTAAGTTTCTTAAGAAATTTAAAAATAAAATAACTAGAAGAAGCAAAGAGGGAAACAATAAAATAGGTTCTAGGCCCATTCATAGGCTTATATATGAGAATTTGGTAGACATAGAGAAATCTATTTTCTGAGTATCAGGTACTTATGGTTTGAATTTAACTCATCTCATTGGTTTAAGTCTTACCTATGTTCCTTAGTTGATCTTTTACTATCATTGTTATATTATACTTGTTGCTTTTTTCTTTTATTAGGTATACATCAAGCCAAACTGCCTTTCATTAAATACTGCCAGGCCATTATGTAACACTATTTAACAACTCACAGTCATTTACTTCTTACAGCTGTGCCTTTTAAAGAATTCTCTACATAGTTATTAGTGTCTGATATTAAGCCAAAGCTTCAAAGCACGATCATTTTATAATTGGCTGAATGAGTAAAAAAAAAAAACTTTCTTAAAAAAACTTCCTTCCTGCACTTAATCATTTATCTTCTACTTCTAAGCACTAATTCCTGTAACTTGAAGAGTCCATAGTAAAATATTTTTTAAGCTATATGAGATATAAGCAAATGCTTGCTTTTCATAAAAAGTTCCTTTCATTTATGATTATTTACTATAGAAGCTAAAGTATACCACCTGCTTGACTTCATTTTTTTTATAGAAATCTAAAATAAAAAGATCTATTCTTTTCACCATCAGAAATTAAAAACTGTGGGCTTCTTAATTGTTGTTGCCTTTGGTGTTTTTAACAGTCATGAAGACCTATTCTCTCCTGTTTCTCGTAGCCATTGCCCTGTACATCATTCTAATGACAGATAAGAAAGAAACAGTTTGGGAGCTAATAATAGGAAATCCATTTGCAAATGGCACAGCCCTAGACATGGTAGTTAGAAAATACCCAGTGGAAATCTGACCCCGAAAAAGACAATTCAACAATGAATTTAGAACTCAAATGCCAAGTGTCTTTTCATTCTAATCTACTTTTAATACAACTTTTATAGCTTATATTTGAGGAATTCTGGTTACTTAGTTTGCATATAGTATGCGCTAGAATCAGTTTTACATTAGAAAGATGTGGAAACATTGCAGCGTGGTCTCCAATAATTAGCCAGGAAATCAAAAGATACATTAAGTTAAATCTATAAGGAGATATTGGGTCTTGTGAACTCTTGTGTTTTAGAATGATGCCATTTATGGGGAGGAAACTAAGCTACGTGAGTTTTCAGACTTCCTTATTAATAATATTAGTGCTGTGTATCTCAATTAATAATATTATTTTATATTTTATCCCAGATGGTATCTGGATAGTATCTTTAATGCTTTTAAAGGAGCCAACTCTCTAAAATATCTTTGCATATTAAATGTGTTCAAAATACATATATAACTGTTACTCTGTCACTTATAACTCAGCCTACAGTGTGTATTCTAGTATTATAGACAACTAAGTTATGTAGAAATATTATAGGCAGTCTTAGAGTGCTGGGCCCTTGAGGGGGTCAGAAGATACAGAAGATGATAACGCATTACAACTGTGGCCAGAGGTGCATTTGTTGGAGGCCAAGATAAAAGTGGAATGGTCAAGCCTACACATCTCCCCAGGAGATAAGATAAATCGTATCGCTATGTCCAATAAAGTCTAGATGGACATCAGTCACCTTGGTGGGTGACTAAGACCACCTGATTCATCCCTTCCTAAAAAGTCTTTGTTCTTTCCATGTATATTTGCTACATGACCTGCTTTCCCATTGAATCAATATTACCTAAGCAGCTATACTTGTAATCTTATTGGTTGATCATAGTTTTGACCCACACTGTGCCCACCTTGTGATTTTTGTACCCACCTCATGATTTTGCTCTATAAAACTTCCTTTGAGAAGAGGGCTCATTGGTGACTCACTTTCAGGTCCTTTCCTGTCTCTCAGGAGCTATCTCTCTCAATAAAGTTTTCCTACTCTCAGTCTCCAATGTTCCTTACAATTCCTTCTTTGATTTGGGGGGACATGAACTTGGCATATCTGACATCTAGCAGGTTGGGAGTTATATTATTTCCCTTATATCACTAGGATGCATTGTCTCTAACTCTGAGTCCCATAAGTTTTATAAATAAAAGCAACATAAGAATAGACCAAACCTTTTTTATAAAATAGAGTACTACTCAGCCATCAAAAATGAGAAATTAGAGACATTTATTTCTAAATGGATGCACATTGAGGAGATACTCTTAAGTGAAATAAATAGGACACATGTGTGTAAATACCGCATAGTTTCTCTAGTGTGAGAAACTGAAAGTGTAAATAAGGACTCAAAGGTATAATAGATAATGTGAAATAGGAAGAAAAGGGGCAAAGGGGAAGGGGAAGTGGGAGGGGTAGGGGAAAGGAAAAAGGGGAATGGAATTAATATGAGAAAATGAAAAAAAAGAAACAAAGTCTTTGTAAATAGGGAGGGATGGAGGGGTTGAAGGGAGGGCAGGGGAAGGGGGAAAAAATAAGAACCAAGAGAGTATGTAAAGGTGCATATCTCCAATGATGAATGTCATTATATTGTACAACTAAAATGTACCAATAAAAGGATATACAAAAAAAAAGAATAGACCAAACCACATAAGAAAAAAGTGCACATTTTGACTTTGTAAAACTTACAATTGATTTCCAAAGCTGGACCTGCACTTTGCTACATGTGTCACACTAGCATTTCACTGAACTCTTTAAGTATGTTTTCTAAAAAACAAAAAAGTAAGTAAATGCTCATTTATATCAATAAAACTGCTACCTTGAAAAGGAAAGAGAACTGCAGCAAAGAAAAAATACAAAGAAGAAAAAAGGCAAAGAAATACAAGAAAAATGCTCAGTAGTGTTAGTAATGGATTTCTGGAAGAAAACATCTCTCTTTTCAGCTACGTTATTCTAGCTTAGTTTTGTACTTTTGTTTGCTTTTGCTTTATTTTTACTTTTGAGTTTGAAGAAAAAAAGCACTTTGTGAGATAAAGGGAAATCAAATATGTGATGGATGAGCCATGGTAAAAAATTCAAAGGAGGAGAGAATTCTGAGGAATGACAAGAATTAGAGAATACCTGGAGAGTATTGAGAAATCCAGCTGTAAATCAAGTGACTCATAACAGTACAGGCAGTAGAGCAGTAGAGACAAAATCCAACACACAGGTGATTAACAAATGAATGAGTGCCAGGAAAAAATAAAGAAAACAATGAAGTCAGTCTATGTCTAAAAGAAAAAAATCTACTTTCAAAGTACCAGAGTATGGCTAAAAACATATTTCTGTTTTCCTGAAACCTCTTCATTGTTCACTCTGAGTTTCAATTTTTCTTTTCTTCTTTTTTGCTCTTAATATCAGCAAGCTATTTATAGTGCAACCATGGCTTTTTCTCCTGAAAAGAACATAATCATAGTTCTTGAAACTTTAAGGCAGTAGTTTGAGCTATTTTCATTAGTTTTTAGCAAAGGCTAAAAACTATTTTTTTTTAAATATTTAAAAAATTTTTTTTAAATTTTATTTTTAAAAAAATATTTTAAAATATTTTAAAATAAAGTATTTTAAGTGGCAGTTATGAGTCCTAATTAGTTATAAGATGGAAGACAATGAAAAACAGTTTAAAGGCATTTCAAAATCTCAAGGTAGCCTATACTCATGCTTGTGTCTAATTCAGCAGGAAGTAAATGTAGCTGGCACTTAATAAATTCTGCTGCCTGTCTGATTTTACCACAGTTTAGTCTTTACTAGGCACATCAGGCCAAGCTGTGTTCTATCCTGCATAGAATATTTTAAAAACTGACTGCACTTTGCAAATCTCTCTCCTTCCTTTTCTCAATCTTACCTTATAAAATCAGGAGCAGAGGTCTTTTAGAGCAGGAATGAAAGCTGCTCTGAGGAGGATTGATAGAGTTTTAACAGTTGTCTCTGGATTCACCTCATGCTTGAAATTTCCTTTCTCCTCCCAGGCCCCACCTCCCAGCAGATAATTTGAATATGAAATACAAGCACTAGGAAAGTCAGAAGGGGATTCCCAAATTTCTCTAAAGGAAAGTGAAACCATAAAGCAGTCAGTGACTACACAGTTAGGGAATTTCCTGAGTGTTACCTAGTGGAAAGGTTTGGGAGTATTTGGCCTGATTTCCCAGAAATTACACATTGTTACTGAAAGAGAGTTTGGACATATTTTACAATTTTTCCAAGTGTATGTTATTTTATCTGGTTTGAAATTATATTTATCTTGAATTTGGAAACACATACTTTTGGAGGGAAAACTTTATAATTTTTGAGGGCCGATTTCTGAAATGTTAGATACACTTACACTGGATAAAATTTATTGTTTTTACAGTAGGTTCAGTAGCTGAAAACTTTAACTTAGAGAAAAAGACAAAGTTATTGATATTTAATGCACAATGAATGTTGACAATATTATTTTTTAAACATTTGCTGTGTTCCCTGTGCAGTGCTCACTACTTTATACGGATTGCGTACTTCAATTCTCCCAGCAAGTATTTGCCCCCAGTTTTGGGGCACAGTGATGGCACAGAGAGACAGAGTAACCTCAAATCACAGAGTTACTGATAAATGGATCTTAAGATTCAAACTCAAGCATTTCATTATGGTCCATTTGTGTTTGCTGAGTAAATCATCATTGTACTCACTTCCATAGCTCCTTTTTGATAGTTAGATCTGGACATTTTAAATGTCACATTTTATTCTGAGAACAATTGCAAATGATAGTTGTTTTTATGGTATCTGTATTTTATGATGCACAGGGAATAAAATACAGGGTATCTGTATTTTATGATTTCCTGAGGTTCAGTTCCTGAGGCAAGGATTTGAGAGTAAGGGACTTATTTGGAAAGTGACTCTAAAAATCAAAGTAGGAGAGTGGGACAGTAAAAATTTAGAATGAATGGGTGAATGAAGTGAATGAGTGAATGAAGCCAAGGAGTGGGAGCATGTAGAGCAGGTTCCTTTGTGAGAACCAGGAATTCAACCTCCTTGAGGGAACTTTTAAGAAAAAAAGTAAAACCTGCTTTGACATTCCCATTGGGATGTGTGAGAAAAGTGGAGTGCTTTCTCTCCAACTTCCATCTTCAACTTCCATCTCTGAGTGGGGGCTTCTGGGAGCCTAACCTGGATTCCTGGTCTGGCCCATGTGTAGGTTGGAAGAGAACACTCCGATGGTAGGTCTCTGATGTTTTCAGTTAGTTGCCAATGGATTATGCAAAAAGGATGCCTTAGGAGAGAATATGAGAGGGCACATCTCCTACACTGCTCAGATCCCCTTATAGCTCATGGAAAGTTCCTTCCTTTCCCTCATGACTTTTCTAGTTTGCTGGCTGGTTACAATAAAAAAATTTAAATTTCACACAACAGATCAGTTGCTGCCCTTCACTTCACGGTTATTATTGGTATTCAGAGTCTTCCTCTTTACTAATTCAAGATTTTGCTCATACTGGGCCAGTTGTTCCCTCCATCAGGTTTTGCTGTTCTGGTGGGGAGACACACATCTCCATTCCTAAGGGATCAGAACATCTATTTCTGTGCTTCAATTAGGCTATGGTTGCTTCCAACACATTTTAATGAGCCATGGAAATATCAAGAGTATCCTAGTGAATCCCATAAGCACCAGATGTACTCTGTTCTCTTCCATTATATACTATTGCCTCACGAAAATTATGATTATTTAAGCCTGCTGGTAAAGCAATCTTTTTCATTGCATGCTGGTTTTGTAAACATTTATGAACATGAAGTTTACAAAATGACTACATGATGGTTGTAGGTTTAGATTTAATGGCAACTTACTATGACCTCTGACTGCTGAACTCCACCCTGAGAACTATCCCTGTAGTCCAGCAGGCACTCAAGAAGTGAGACAGTGGATTACAGATTCACAGTTGAATAAATGGAGAAGACGCATATTTTAACAACTTCATTTTCAGGTCCATCATATTTAGCACATAATTGCCATTAGCTCACCAATTATATACTGGATCATCAATACCAATGTCCAATACCATAGTGTGTCTTAGCTACTTCATTGCTTCTTGGCCTTTTGGCTAAAATCAAGTGTAGAAACTTAGCTACATCTCTAAGTAGACATTCCAGTTAGTCTGGTAGCTTCTCAATTATGTATAAGAACTAGTAGATCATATGGTTACATTCACATTCTTGTGCCTATTTATTGTGAAGTCAAAAATCAGTCTAGAATGATGTTTAATCTCATGACAATAGATGAGATACAGTATGTATATGACTTCTTGTAAGCCAAGACCAACTAGATAAAACATTTACCACTGCTCAGCAGTCTGTGTGAAGCCTTACTTCAATCTGCTTCTTCCTTTGTACAAAATACAGAGTAGTCTTGTAGATCCAGACTCTGATCACTTTCCGGCACCTTTCCTGTCACTTCCTGAGTGTGTCATCATTATCTCTTGTTGAGATGATTACAGGAAATTCCAGTAGATCTCTCTGCTTCCATTTTTTTTTCTCTTTTATCATTTTGTGTGGTTCTTTTTATAATGTAATCACATTTTGTAATTCTAATACACCAGTTTCCCAGGTACTTCTTCAAATCCTTAAAAACCAGTCTTGATACTGACTCAGTAAATCGGGCTCCTGCTCTCTAGTTCACCTTATCACATAGTCCACATTTCTGTCTCCCTTGCTGTGCTTTGTATATGTCAGAGACTTTCTCAGTCTGTTATTGTGCATGCTATTCCCAGTACCTGTAAACCTTATCCTTTAATCATCAGTGATCAGCAACACCTTCTTTGAACAGTCTACATAAGTTTACAAACCTGTCTCCTTTTCTGACCCAAGTTCCTATAACTCCTCTCTTAAATTTCCCCATATTATTACTGTCATCTAATGAATTTTATTGATTTGTGTTTATTTCCTCTTTTCCTTCATTAAAGTATTTCACATGATAGGTCTTTGTATCTGTTTTTTTTAATTGCTATATTCTAGCACTTCAAATGTTACACAATATAAAATAAATATTTAAAATGTTGATTAAATGTATGAATAAGTTAAGAATGAACAAATGACTATGTTATCTTCAAAATTTGCAAAATGTGACACAAATTCAACATGGATGCTTGACTCAGTTACAACCTCCATACTTCATCTCCCCACTGGTCATAGTTCAGTAACACAATGGTTGGCATCTAAACCAAGCTAATTCAGTGGTGCTTCTTCAGTTAAGGACCAATGCCTTAGGCTTTCAGGGCTACGAGAAGATAGGTCAAACAAACATACAAGGGCATACCTGAACACATGTGGAAAATTAATAGTTCAAAAGAAATTGAGTAAGCTAAACAATCAGAATAAATGTTCCAAACTAGAAAAGAGATCTTTCTGGGAGAATAGCCACTTAAGAAATTCTAATTCGGGCTGGGGATTTAGCTCAGTGGTGCTGCTGCTCTCAAGTGCAAGGTCCTGAGTTCAATCCCCAGTACAAAACAAACAAACAAACAAAAGGGCTGGGGAGGTGGTTCAGTGGCATAGCGCCTGCCTGGCAAGCACAAGGTCCTGAGTTCGATCCCTGAAACCAGAAAAAAAAAGTTCTAATTCATATCCTTTATGACAATGGGTGCACATTTCCTCTGATTAGAAGGGCAGTCTCTCATGTTAAAAGGAATATTCTGTGGGCAGTAACACATTCTCAAAAGTGAAAAGATGCAAATACTGAAATATAAAATCAAAAGAAGTGCTGAATAACAAAAAGGGATACTGCTCAAACCCACTAATGATTAGAAAATCAAAGGAATTCCTGTTAAAAACAGAGGGAAAAAAAGACATCATGAGAGAAAAATTACATAGAGCATGAGTCAAGAATGTGCAACATGCACTTGATAGGAATTTCAGATGGAGGAAAAAGAGTAGAAGTAATCTAATCTACAGTCAAAGAATGCTATGAAAATATCTTCTTTATCTGAAAAGCCAAATTTTCAGATCTCTGTTGGCATAATTTCTGAATTCCAAAAATAAACAAAGCAGAAAAAAGTTTTCCAGTTGAATATTGTTTACCTACATATAAGAGATAGCAAGCTTCTCATTCTTCATAGTATAGAAAACACAATAAGGTGACCTAGAATTTTATAGTAAGACAAAATACTAATGCATATTACATGCAAAATGAAAACTTTTTCTAAAATGAAGAACTTGGTTTATTATACATAACTTTCTGGTATAAGAATTCAAAAATATATGATCACCATTGACTACAGTAAAAGTACAGTAAAATCTAAGAGGTCTTTACAATGTATTTGGAAATATAAATGCTAAAGTTATTTTCAGTAGAAAAAAATCTATTTAGTGTCTAAAATTTCTTTGTCTGCCACTGTGGTTTGGATTTTAAATGTCCCTTAAAGGTTCATGTGCTGAAAGCTTGGTCCCCAGACACACTACTGGGAGGTGGTACAACCTTTAGGAAGTAGAGGCTATTGCAATGTGATCACTCCCTTGAGGGGAATATTGTGGCCCCAGTCTCTCTTCTCTCTGTTTGCTTTCTGAACACCATGAGGTGAGGAGTCTCTTCCACCACATGGTTCTGCCATGATGTACTAAGCTGTCACAGGCCAAAAGCAATATGATCAAGCAACCATGGACTAAACCTCTGAAACCATGAGCCCAAATAAACATTTTCTTGCTGTTTTTCTTATGTATTACATTATAGAGGTGGAAAGTTGACTAACACATCTGCTAAAGAGCATATTGGAAACCCGGGCATGGTGACATATGGCTATAATCGCAGCACTCTGGGAGGCTGAGGCAGGGGGAATCACAGGATTGATCCAGGAAGTAACTGAGACTTTATCTCAAAAATTTAAAAAAAAATAAAAAGGGCTAGAGAGGTAGCACAGTAAAAACTCCCTGAGTTCAATTCCATACATATACATAATCCCATATATACACATGTATATATTCTATATATATGTGTGTGTGTGTG